GGGAACTCAGGTAGCTGGGCTGGCTGAAAGGTACCTGTCTGCTTGGACCCACTTCTTAGGTGAGAAAACACAATCACCTTGGGCTCTCTCGTGGGGTTTCATCCCACAGGTTTTCTGGAAGATGAGATGCAAAATGAGATCACAGTTCAATTGCCAGAGAAAGCCCCACCAACCCCTCTCCCACGGGAAATGATTACCCTGGAGGTAGGTTCTTTTCTACTTTGCTAAAGACAGTCATGAAGCCTGTCTCCTGAGGAGCTCAAAAAAAACCACTCACAGATCTTTACCCAGTTGCAGAAGGTGTAGGGGCGGATTTATGTGACTGTCCACTTTTCAGTATTAATCCCCCAGGAAAATCCCACTGTAAAATTTTTATTTTCATTTTAAATGTTTATTTACTTTGAGAGAGAGAGTGGGTATGTGCATGTGAGTTGGGGAGGGACAGAGGAGAGGGAGAGACAGAATGCCAAGCAGGCTGCATGCTGTCAGTGCAGAGCCCGAGATGGGGCTCAATCCTGCCAACCATGAGATCATGACCTGAGCTGAAACCAAGAGTTGGAAGCTTAACCCACTGAGCCACCCAGGCACCCACCCCCACTGTACAATTTTTAGAGTCACTTCTGATCATGGGGAGAGCTCTTTTTTTCTCCTACTGCAGCCCGAAGGGAGCTCACGCCACTTTGAGAAGTGGTTTCATTGATGGACATAAATTCTCTCTCTCTTTTTTAATGTTGTATCTATCTATCTATCTATCTATCTGAGAGATATAATTTTTATTGAGTATTCCCTAGGTCCAAAATACTGCTCAAAACATATTGTATGTTTTACATGTAATTGTAATTGGTCAATGATTGTCCCTATTTACAGGTCAAATATTTGAATCAGATGTCAAGTAACATTTCTGTCATCATAGAGTTAATAAATGAAGGAGCCAGGAACTTATCCCATTGGTATTCAGAACCCATATACTTTTTGTGGGGGAGATACATTTATTTTGAAATAATTACAAATTTATAGAAAAATTGAAAGAATAGGCCAGGAAACTCCTGTTTATACTTGTCTCACATACCTTAACCGTTAATATTTTGCATATTTTTTCTCTTATTTTCTCTTTCACTCCCTTTCGCTCTTTCTTTCTTTTTCTTCTCCTTATACACACTACACACAGATAAATGTGCATACAAGTTTTTTCTAAACTATTTGAGAGTAAGCTGTAGATACATCCTTAACCCCTAAATACTTTAGAGTACTTTTCATGAGAACAAGGACATCCTTTTGCATAAACACACTACAGTGATCAAAATCAATACATTAACATTGAGACAATACTATTATAGATCTCATTTACAGACCTTGTTCAAATGTGACCAACTGTCTCAACAATGTCATTTACAGAAAATTTGACAAATTTTATAGTCTGTCTATTCTCCTCTCCAGTCTAGTATCATGCATTGTATTTAACTGTTATTGCACTTTATTCTTATCTCTCTGCCACAAGTCCTCAGTCTTACTGTCTTACTCAACCATAACAATTTTGAGAAGTCTTAACCATTTACTAGAGTGTCCCTCAACTTGGGTTTACCTGATTTTCTATGCTTATGATTAGATTCAACTTGCATTTCTGCCGGGAATACCACACAGTGATACTACATCCTTCTCAGTGCATTATGTAAGTTGGCACATGATATCCATTTGTCCCAGAATTGGTGACATTAAATTTGATCTCTTGGTTAAGGTTGTATTCATCAGATTGCACTCATGTAGAGTTAATATTTTCCCATTGTTCACTTAAATATTTTGTGTGGGGATACTTGGAGGCTATGGAAATATTCTGTTCTATGATCCATTGATGATTTTTTTTTTTTTACTTTATATTTCTTTTTGTTTTAAATAATTTATTTATTTTTTAATTTACATCCAAGTTAGTTAGCATGTAGTGCAATAATGATTTCAGGAGTAGATTCCTTAATGCCCCTTAACCCATTTGGCCCATCCCCCCTCCCACAATCCCTCCAGCAAGCCTCTGTTCTCTATATTTAAGAGTCTCTTATGTTTTGTTCTCCTTCCTGTTTTTATATTATTTTTGCTTCTCTTCCCTTATGTTCATCTGTTTTGTATCTTAAAGTGTCATATGAGTGAAGTCATATGATATTTGTCTTTCTCTGACTGACTAATTTCACTTAGCATAATACCCTCTAGTTCCATCCAGGTAGTTGCAAATGTAATGTTTTATTTATTTTTGAGAGAGCACAAGCAGGGGAGGAGGAGAAAGAGGGGGACAGAGGATCGGAAGTGGGCCCAGCTCTGAAAGCAGTGAACCTGATGTGGGGCTTGAACTCACCGACTGCAAGATCATGACCTGAGCCAAAGTCGGACGCTTAACTGACTGAGCCACCCAGGACACAAAGTTCTTAGAAGCAGTGAAGTCTTGACTATATGATGCTACTGAACAAGACTTTTGCTGGCACAATGGGATCTTCTTTTTCTTGTCTTGTCTTCCTTCGTTTCTTAACTATTGTCACTGTACTATACATTATAGCCTAAGGATTTATTTATCTTATAGCTGGAAGACCACCTTCACCCATTTCACACCCCGAAGCCCCCATAACCACCAGTCTGTTCTCTGTATCTATGAGTTCAACTTTTTGTTTTTTTTCTTTTCTTTTGTTTCTTTCTTTTTTTTAAGATCCCCTATTTTAGTGAGATCATAAAGTATTTGTCTTTCTCTGCCTGATTTATCTTACTTAGTGTACCCTCAAGGTCCATCCATGCCATTGTTATGGCAGGATTTCCTTCTTATTATGGCTGAGTAATATTTCCCTGTGCACATATGCCCCATCTTTATACGTTCATCTGTTGATGAGCAGTTAGGTTGTCTTCACTCTTGTAAATGATGCTGCAATGAACACGGGACTGCAGGCATCTTTTCGAGACAGTGATTTTGTTTCCTTCGGATAAATACTCAGAAGTAAAATTGCCGGATCCAATGTGTTGGTAACTAATCATCTTTCTGGTGGGAAATGACTCATGCTTTGTATCTACTCTAGACTGAGGCCTCTCCTCGACTGGCTTCTGGGATCAGCTGTGCCTCAGCCAGCTGTTTTCTTTAGCCAAGGACATTATAACTGAGGGGACTACCCCTTTCTTTCCCTCTCTCCTTCCTTTTATAAAACTTTGAGTGCCTACCATGCACAAGGTAGCTTAGAGAGAAACAAAACATGGCCACGTCCATTAGGAGCTTCTAGAGCAGATGGTGGTGAAAGGAGGGAGGGGTGAGGCAGTGAGAAAGAATGTCAAAAGGTAGGCAGAGCCAGATCCTGGAAGGCCCTGTAGATCTTGATTAAAAAAATTGGATATTTTATGCTAAGAAAAGGAAGGGCCCATTAAAGGAGGCAGGAAGGTAGGGGAGCTTCACTGAGCTGAGCCTTATCTCTGGCTGGGTTTGTTTGTTTGTTTTCTTTAAAGATAATGTAAAATTCTTGAAATTTTTGAAGCCTTTAGTAGTATAAATAAAGATACTCTAACAGAGATATGAGACTGTCAACTCCCCTGGAAAATATTTTGGATCTGGCCATACTAAAACCTGGATATTTTGGAAGATATTGAGTTGGTTATATGTTTCAGATAGTACTTAAAAAAAAACAAAAATCATTGCCTCCAAAGGAGGTAGGCATTGGCCCACTGGTTGGTTTTGAAACTCTACACTTTCATACATTTATACTGGTAACCAGTTAGATTACAGTCCAATGTGTACCAACAGCCCTTCCTCAGTATTTTCCTCCTGGGTATTATTTGTTGTAAAGATGAAATTAGAATGGCATGAGCTTATACGTAGCAATATTTGTCTAACCATTGACCAAGGGAACAGACTGATTCAACGGTCTGGCAGTTGAGTGTTCCTCCAGCATTCCTATGAAGGGGAATCCTTCAAGATTGTGCAAGAGTACACAAGTGGCTTTGGGCCCTTGACTTGCAAATTTTCTAAAGAGGCTTTCATAACAATCCTGGAGGAAATACTAATTCAGAAAAAAAATCTACCCACAAATCCACCATCTCAGCAGAAACTGCCATAACTTCTCAGTTTTTAGGTTTTATCCTTATCAGCTATATTTTTATGTAACCCCATGTCCATTGTCTACATTATAATTTTCTACTTTTTGCATTTAACTATCACTTTGTAAACTATGTTTTAAATAATGGGCTGTTGTCCAAAATATTTTTAAAGGCAGAATTATTTTAAAAAAAGGTTTTTTTTTTAATGTTTATTACTTATTGAGAGAGAGAGAGAGACAGAGTGTGAGTGGGGAGAGTTAGAAAGGAAGACACAGAATCTGAAGCAGGCTCCAGGCTCCGAGCTGTGAGCACAGAGCCTGATACGGGGCTTGAACTCATGAACCGTGAGATCATGATCCGAGCCGAA